AAGTTAAAAGAATATCTTTTCAGCGGGTAGCTAGGTGCCTTTTTGGACAAGCAGGAACATTCCTATCATAACTGCTCTGGTCTCTTTCTTAAAAAGTTGTTAATAAGTCTCGTGGTTTTCGATTTGACAAGCACCCCCAGTTATACCCTCACCCCTCCTCCGTGCATTCCTATAAATTTTTGTACTTGTAATCAGGAGAACCTTACACTGAACTCGAACAATGGCAATTGTATGAAAACTACTTACTTTATATTCGCAGTGGAACTTCGCAAAAGGCCGAATTAAAAAGAAATACACCGCGAAGGGGGAAAGAGAAAATGGCCTACATAAGCAACTCCCAGGCGAGGTCCTCCGCGCTATACCGGCGCAAGGCGACTTTATTTCAGAAGGGTCACGCTCTTCACACCATGACAAAGGCTGAAGTAATTATTGTAATCGATCACAAGGGACAGCGTTTTGTCGGCGGTTCTCTGGGCCTTTTAGAAACATATAATAAACGAATACTTAAGCCCACCCGAGCCGAGCACAGATACGATGCCCCGGAGACTGCAACAGACCCTGATCGCCCTAAAATCGAACCGCTCGAAGACACTCCTGAACATATCAATATTGATCATCGTTTGCCTGGCGTTCTGGGGTATTCATCAACGAGAGGTGAGACTCGCGTCCCTCCTTCTAGAAAGAGGTTGCACTAAGGTGATAGTCCTGACGCTGGGATACCAACTCCTGTTAAGGAATTATTGTTGAATAAACCGATGCCGCAACTCACCGACAAAGAGAAAAATGACGTACCCACCGTCCAGAAACAGAGTAAAATATCATTTATTTCTGACGAGAGCGTAGAGATCTTTGTTGCTGGAGAGGAAGAGTGATAGCAGATACTGTATGGATGATCAATCAATGACCCTCGTCAGCTAATTAAGTTGTTATTGTTCCTGGTAACTTTTGGGCATTTCCCAAAACAATCAGAACGTTATGTTTTGTTAATGTTTATCGAAGCTATATGAACCGTCAAAATACATAGCTCTACAAGGCAACTCAGTATGTGCTATTGTTTCTGTTAAATTGAATTGACTTTTTTTTGAAAAACTACTGTAGCAATTGAACAATCATTGATTAAAAGCAAATAGTCCATTAAATTACTTATGGCTGTTGTAGTATACCAATAATTGCATAAAAGGAGGAGGGGTGGAATCTCACATATAAAAGTGATGTACATGTAAATGGTTATTGAAAGTTTTGAAACAAACCGCTGAAAGTTAAAAGAATATCTTTTCAGCGAGTAGCTAGGTACCTATTTGGATAAGCACGAACATTCCTGTCATAACCAACTGCTCTGGGCTCTTTGTTAAAAAGTTGTAAAATAAGTCTTGTGGTTTTCGGTTTGACAAGCACCCCCAGTTATACCATCACCCCTCCTCCGTGCATTCCTATAAATTTTGTATTTGTAATCAGGAGAACCTTACACTGAACTCGAGGAAAAAATCCATTTAAATTACTACTGATGTGACTTTTAGCTTGGGTTAAAATCTAGGCCACATTAAAGTTATCACTGTTCATGCAGCCTTCTATTGCAACTCAATGGCAGGGAAACATTCCTTGGTACAGTATGTGCATGCATACACGAAATTTAACAAAGTGAAACATTTTAAAAGAAATGGATAAATTATTGAGATAAAAATCTAGAATATACATACACAGAAAAAAAACCACTGTGATCCTGCTAACAGTCCTGCCAGCAGTTTGCAAAATTTCATTTAAGTGTGTAATAGAGTCGATATCCGACACAAAATCTGACAAAAGCAGCACAATTTTGTTTTACTACTCAATGAAAAGATACTGAAAATATCCATATTCCCACCACAGAAGGGATTGGAAATTCCTGGGGGCCTCAAAGACCAAAAATACTATAGAAATGTGTGGGTCCAGAAAATAGCCATACCCCCAAGGATGGTTTTATGGTTCGGACCCTCCTACCCTACCTGGAATTTCCAGTTTTGCTTCATACTTTCCCTTCAAAAACTTGACTTTTGAGACCCCCCTCCCCCTTGGAATTCCCAGTGACCATCCTTGTGATGGGTGTGGACATTTTCAGGAACCACACAATGTATGAAGTTAAATTTGAATTTCTATAGGGGCTTGGGTTCTTATTTTAAAAAATCCCTTTTGTGGAGGAGGTGTGGATGTTTTATGGATCAGCACAATTTTTACAACTTCATAATATACAATATTATCATCAGTCAACCTCTCCATCTTCATCATCTTCCACAGTACATTGTTCGTCAACTGCTTCAAGGTGCTGAAGCTCTTCAATTATGTCATTGTACAATACAAGCAGTGCATCCTTTTTGGCTTTACTTGGGTGGGCCTTAAAATATTCCAGCTTGCTAGACAGAGGTCCTCTTACCTCTTCATCAAAAATCTGCTGTAGTTTATCTCCAATGCGTTTCAGAATTTCATCCTTGGTGGCATTCTTTATATCTTCAGCTACAACCCTTTCTTGAACAGTTACAAAGTCTTCATTGTACCTCCACCTCTGTTCGCTTCAGAGTTGCCATCAATGAAATGTTCACTGAGCAGTCTTCTCCGGTTATCCTGCACAATTTCTTCATAGTTTGGAAGATCCTTATCCAATTCAAGGCCATCCAAGGAAATTAGCTTCTCTGAACAGTTCCCCTCCAGATACCTGTAGTAAACCATTAAAAATACAATAATCATCAGGGAAGGATTTGGCCAACATACATTACAGGGAAATTTGCCATACCATAATAATAATTATATGGTTTCTAATATAAAACAAACTTTGGAAAGTTGGGAATTAGATGACAAAAGTCTATGAGCTGAGGTAATGATTTCAACTTTATTCTCATACAAAGCAATACCAGTTACCGTGTATCATGTTAGCAAAAATTGTTAGGTCTAAATTTGTAGGGTATATCATACACTGCAATAAAGGTCAAAGAGGTGCACTTGAAATAGTACAGAAACTTGCCTTTCTTTTCGAAGCTTTATCCTCCATGCAAGCACTTCATCTCCAAAGTCCTACTTTCTTCTAGACTCTATGGCTTCCTCTTTTGGGTTTTGTAAACCAAACATGGTGAAGAACCAGTTTCTCACCTATAGTGATATTGTTATAAACATTTCAATATTTATGTACTGAAAGTAAATGCCACAGTGATTCTACAACAGAAAGGTGTCCCTAATACATGTAGATGGTCCCACCATTTGCTACAATTTCATCTGCAACATGTGTATGAAAAGTCAAGCAAGACCTAGTGGGGACTAAGATTATAAAATTAATATTTTTTAGTTACAAGATAAATGTCATGTCCCAGCCTACAAGAGTTAAAATAATATTATCATCCGGCATGAAAACACACGTCCACATGTCTACTTCCCCTGTTAGCAGCCACCAGATTACATAGAGGGCATTTTTTTTTATCTGGTGCCTGCTAACAGATATATATGTACACACACGCAAGTAAAAAAGGTAAACAAACCTTGCTCAAATTTCCAAGATTTCTGAAAATTCAGAGCCAGTCAAGTGCAACCATCTTGCCATGCTGCCACACTTTTGAGTCCTTATTTACTTCCTCTAGGCAAGCATCCATATCTTCTCCTTTGCTCATGTTACCAGAGGTACTCACAGATTCTGTGGTTTCCACAAATTGATTGAGTTTCCCTGGGTAGTGAGCACGGTCAATGCTATAAATACATGTATTAACAGGAAAGAGAGAATAAACAGGTGCTTTAAACAAGACCTTTATTTAAAGTTGGACTGCACTAAAATGTGGTCTAATGCATTCTAGAGAAGACCCCACACATTTACAATACATGTAAATGTACAAAATTTTACATGTAAAAGTTTATTACTATTAGTTACAAAATGTGTGTACTGCTACATTTTGTACAAGTAAAATGGGCTAATAGTTAATCGTGGCTGGCTTATGCCTTTTTTCGATTTCAAGGCTATGCTCAAATTTTTTGGTTTTGTTAGTCACACTTAACAATACAAAATTTTTGGGCAACATTTCACAGTTTATCTCAAGACCCCTTTTCACCCATGTGGCCTTGAAGATCCATGTTATATTTTTGCAGTGCGACCCATAAATATTGGCTGCAAAGCCAAACGGATCGACATGGGCCTCAAATTCAAACAATTTAATTCCACTCACCTGTCGTGTAGATCTATCAATGCATATTTTGATGAGCTACTTCTATGGAACAAAGGTGCAAATGACAACTGCCCTGCTCTGATGTACGAACTATTGTTCCTTCTGACACGTTCCATTGTTGTTTGGCAAACAGGGCAAACACGTCTTCCTTCATTCGCTTTTAATTCATCTACACGCAGGTCAATGTCATCTTTCCATTCACCGTTGACTTTATTTTGCCCCATTAGCAAATCATGAAGAAGTTCATGGATCATCTTTTTGTTCTGAAGTCATAAGAAAATAGAAGAGTCTTATTAATATTTAAGCAATATCAAAAATTATTACAATGTGTTGCAGTTGGTGGAGAAAGTGGCATGAGCAAGGTATTTAAACGAAACACTAAGCACGGTAATGCAAAAGCAAATTAAATTCAAATTACTTTTAATTAGTTAAGTTAAATCCAACACCAATAAATTACTACTGATTGTGTGTACATGTGTGTTAAGGCATTTGTTTATGATAGACAGCTTATAAATAAATTCCTTCAAAATCAGTGCATGTTAGAAAACCAGTCACACTTCTCATGAGACATTAAAATGTAGATTTCTTGTGATTTGAGACCACAAAATCTGTTTTCCAGTAAACTGGCTACATGCTCCACAGATAAAACAAAAACTTCTTTGTGTTTGAGGTAGCTTGCTAGCCAATACAGAAAGCAAAAATGATCGACCGTCTCTAAGGTAGGAATCAAAAGTATCTTACATAAGTTTGCTCATCTGAAAGCCTTTACCTCGTGGCGAAACAATCCCTTGTTGTCCCCTGAAGCAGAGCACATGTCCAAAAGCTTTACCTTATCCTCTTCACTTTTCTTCCAAAGTTCACTTCTTTTAGACCATGAACTGAAACAAATATAAATTGTATACATTGAACATGTTGCTGTGACAAGAAGTATTAGTTGCTACATTGTACATGTAACCTTTCAAGACATTTCCTGGTACAAAAAAATATCATTTGAGCTTACACCCTGAACAATCATTACTGATTTTTAGGAAATACATGACTATTCTTATTTCTACAACTTCTAAATAATGTAGGTCGTTGTACATATCAGTGGAAAGTACACTCCCTCTCTCTCGCTTAGCTTTAACACAAAACTGTTATTACCAGAAAACTGCATCCCCTAAAGAGTAAGGACCATGTTACATGTAAATTTTGTGAATTTTTCTTTTCCCTTACCATTTCCTGACCAGTGGCAACCCAGGTCATTCATTAAGTTCCTTGCCTTAGTTATCAGTGCAGCTGTTACAGCTTGCCGCTTTTCTGCATTTAAGTGTAAAATATTAAAGCAAATTAAAAACAAAATATTACAGAAATAATAAGTCCATGTAGCAGACTTGGAGTGACCATGTACGCTTTTACTTACCCTGGAGAAAGACTTTGGTCCCACTGCACTGGAGCCACACAAACACTGGTTAGAACACTAATCTGTGCTTGGTTATCCTTTCGGACAGTCCATTTTTTGATAAGTACTTGATCATTGTCAATAGCAGCAAGAATATCACCACCAGGAACTTGAGGGACATCCATGGTCAAATTGTTCAGCCACGTTCTGGCAGTTGTGATACCACCAGCAGGATGCAACTTCCCATAGATATTTAGGACAAACTTGCTACGAGTGACTGAGTATGCAAGTAAATTTGATGCAAACATCAAGTGGCTAATGAAAGATGGCTGCTCTAGGGAATAAAGTTTATCAACACTGCCAGCTTTCTGAAAAGGTTGAGTTTTTTCATTTGCAAGTGCATTAACTGCAGAAGTAAGAATGGAATTTCTGGCGTGAACCCATGTATGAGGTGTAACTTTCAAGAGCACAGGCAGACTTTTGTAGGTTTGACTACAGGATGAAATATCTTTTTTGATATTTTCTTTTTCTAGCTGGAAAATTTTTGAAGTCAGATTAATTTTATCTTGACTGTTCAAACAACGAATGGATGTTTCAAGGTTCTCTCTGTCCAGAAAAATGAGATTAAACTGGTCAGCAAGTTCCGTGGCACATGCAAGGGCCAACTCCCTGTCCGACAATGGAATGTTTTCAATTAGTGCACTGAATTCTTGGCAAGAATTCTTCTCTTCTGTTTCAATTTCCTCACCGCTCTCAGTGTCACTTTCGTTATCTTTCGTCACAACCTTTTCTTCAACACTTTTTGGAGGACGCCCTCTGGCTTTCTTATTACATGGACAGTTTCCTTCAGAGTGACTTGTCCACAAATAAGGTCGTTTTGAGGTCGAGACTTTGGCATGCACATCTGTATTGCCACGAATTCGATAAAGTGATCGTTTGCATCCAGCGCAGATACTATTGGGATGAATTTCTTCCAAGTCTTCCTCAATGTTTATTCGAAACTGGTTCAACAACTCATTTTTAAATAAACTTTTGTCAGCAAAATCAGACTTCCTTGAAAGGACTTTTCCACACAGTCGACAAGCTGTCCTTAAAAACGATAAATGACCATCCATGAGCTGCAAAGGAGATCAAAATAAGAGCTTTAGAATTGAAAGTCAATAGATAAGCAGCAGAAAACACTTGAAGAGCCAATGTTGCTGAAGAGCAAATTATCAGGATGTTACACTAAAAAACAAAACAAGGTGCACTTGAATTCCGTTTTGATGTTTTTCATGCAAATGTATTGGAGAACACCACTGCATTTTTCTCTTTTTAAAAAGAGTGTGACTGAGGCAGGTTTTAGAGTTTTTATTTAAATAACAAAACAGGCTTGTAGCCACAAACATAGGCGTACGGGCAATTTTTTGCCAGGGGGGGTAAACCATTTGCCCAAAAAATTCTTGCAAGTTGCCCAAATTTTTACAAAACAGTCGAACAGAAAAGAGGGCCATATGATGCAACAACATAAGCCGTACTAGCACATGAAAGTGGCTTGATACAGTTTTTCAGGGTCAATACCTGTGAAGTTTTTTTTGAGCATAGACTACGACACCATAAACAGACATTTGGAAAAATTGCCACCACAGTTGTATTAGATAAAGATGAAAATTTGTTATGATCCGGGTTGCAATAACATCAGCGTTGTCATAGCAACCAAATGAGGCCATTACCTATTATACTTGCAGCAACATTTCTCACTGGGAACTGTCCTTCCAAAAATCGTTCACGGGAGCATTTTCCTCCAATAGTCGCCTCGATGTTCGTGAAGTTAAAACGGAATCTGTAAGAGCGTTGCGGAGATATTTTGGGATAAAGTTTTAAAGGATAAAAAAGGAAAATCTTGATGTTTGGCCGTTACCTGTAGAAAACTAAGCGTTTTTGACATGCAATTTCACCTCATAGTAGTTTTAATCTTTTTAAAAACGTGGGTAAAAGATCATGGAGATAGCTCTGGCCAAAAAAGGATTTGAGTATTTAGTATGTATCATGGCACTCTTGTTAGCGGTTTTGTAAACATTTCGGTCTACTTTAACAAATTAGTGAATAATTTTTAAACCACTCGATAGATTTTTTTAAAAAAAATTACGATTCTTCCCGTAATTCAAACTGAGAATTAGTCACCCATTGCTGATGCTATCTGCCATACAGTGTTCTACGAGCGGAGATGATTCTAGAAAGTTAGGTAGAAGTTTATTCCAATCAATTCACGACTGGAAATAGCCCATTGCAGTACAGTGCCCAACAATAAAAAAAATCAGCACATGATACCCTTCCCTTGTAACCAGAAACTCGTTACGTGCTAGGCAACCACTGTCTTGTGTCCTGAATATAATAGTACTGGATTATTATGCCAACTTTAGGTTAAAATAGAAAATATTTATCTCTTCAAAATAATGATTTAAAAAACACGGAAACGTCTTAAAAAACTGGTTTTACCCAAAATTTCTCTCGCTGCCCAAAAAATCTGAGTTGCCCAAAATTTGGGGGGGGCTGCAGCCCCCCCCCCCCGGCCCGTACGCCTATGGCCACAAAGTAGTTTAAAGTGCTTCTTACTGCACTTCTTTTGTAAGGAATTTATCAAGACAGGGAATAAAATTCTTGTGATTTTGATGCAGGGAGTGGTAGTGTGATTTAAAGGAAAATGCATTTATGAAAGATTATGTATGTATCTTAATTCAAAATAATTATGACTGTACAATAAAATTAATAAGTCTAAGGCATAGGTCGCACTTGGGAAAAGTTTTCATCTTTGCCGGCTAAAAAACCACGAAAATTCGAAACCGCAACCGGAAAAGAAAACTTTTAGTCAAAGCATCTTAACTAACCTCCAATTTTCATTCGTGTCACGGCATGTCATCAAGATACATGTACAACCAATAACTTGGAAAGACGCTTCCTCCTTCACATTCAAACGACGCCATTCTTTCTAAACAGCCGACTTGTAATTCTTCTTCTGCATGTATAGAGAGGAAAGACCAAGCTGTAAAACGAATATAACACGACTATCCACCAACTGAAAAGAAGAGCAAAATAGAACCTTTAGAATAGCAGACGCTAGTACTCTTTAACAAGCAATGGCGGTAAAGGGCAATACTACGAGTCACACTTCAACCGGCGTGCACTTAAACTAAACCGCCGTGCTCTTGAATTCTGCTTCGATGCGTTTGAAGCCCAATCATCAGAGAATACCACAGTATTTTTTTTTTGGCTAAAAAAAATCTTACCTACCTCAAATTTCCTTTTGCTTCGTAGCATGCATGTCAGCCTTTCCGAGCTCAATTTTGGTGCCACAGTTCGACTTCGAATGCACATTTCTTCGGCACATTTCACTAGCAGCTAAATACACAGGAATTGCACCGACCTGTGATTGGAAGATGAAAATAGTATGTCAGTGGCGATGACGTGACAATTCGTTACGTTAGCCGTTTCAAGACTAATGGTTTTTACACGAAAAAGACAGTCCACAGGAAAATACAATATAATATTAAATATTTCTCAAAGACAAACAGTGCAGTATTCTTTTGAAGTCGGCTGACTCGCTAAGAGTCAATGTCTTATCGAAGTTGAAGTTCAACTGTCGCAAATCGGATAACTTCACTGAGTGATTCTGAGATGAAACCTTTTGTCTGCATCCACATTGATCTTAGATTTTACCACTTACATATTGAAGAAAAGCCATAAACAGAGCTTCAATGTCCACGTGCCTGTCCACGTACACCCGACTGAACCTCGGTGCGATTCCTGCAGATACCGCTGTTCATACTAAATGCAGGAATTGCACCGGACGCGTTCTCGTCCCCAGAGTCACTCTAAGTTGTAACAAAAGAGCACGTGACCAAGAAAGATGGGCTCTGGGAACAAGAATACACCGGACGCTCATTGGTCGAATGCGCAACTTGGCATAAATGAAATAGCCGCGGGAAACTTTAATTGATTTTCTCGCCTTTTGATTTTCGCTTGATAGGACAAGACTTAGGCCACTGGAAATAACACATCACTTGTATTCGAAGTTAAATTATACTGAAGCAGGGGTTATAGGATCCTGACTAAAGGTCATCTAAACCTCGGGCTGATTGTTCTTTCCTTTTTTTCTTTTACTTCTTGACTTTACAAGTGTAACATGCTCTCCTTGGTGAGTATATCGAATCTGAAATACCTCAGCAATGTAAAAATAATGGTCACCTAAACAGCCTGGTTAAATCCCATCATGTCCTTTGGAAGAAACAAAAATGCCCTTTTCAGCAAACCGAATAATCATTGCGTTTCAGCACGTAGCTGCGAGGACCATTTGACCTGCCATAGGGGGTGGGTGGGTGGGGTTGAGTTTTCGAAGAAAAAAATCTGTGAAGAAACTAAAGACGAGTCAATGCTTGTTTTAAGCTAATAGAGTTACATCAAGAGACTATAAAGGGGACAGAGAAGGCATCCCCCATATACACCCTATTCCATAGGTAATTCGTCTCGAGTTATTTTTAACACCACAGATCTCAAGGGGGATTAGACAACAGCCAATCACATAGCGCGAATGTGTTCCGCGTGGATGACCCACGCTGAGAGCCACGCGTCCTTCACGAAATGACGCAGAACAAAATGGGGGAAGTGCGGAGAGCGATTTTGCTATTCCTTTTGTCGACGAAAACGACTACAGCGAGATTTCTGCGAAAACTGTGTCAGCGAAACCGAAATTAAAAAAGAATCTCCCTTCCTCTCATGTATAGAGCTAACAGTAGAGCAGGGAAATCCTTAACACACTGAATATTCTCTCAGGATCATTTATAATTTACAGTTTGAAGAGAGCAATTTCTGGTTTGATGTTTATCTTTTTCAGGTCTTTATAGCGATTATTCCTACCCACTTACTTTGTCAATTGTAGGCGAACCCTCCTAAAGCTGAATTTCAAGGGGCCATACTCAAGCTCAGAAAGAGAAATAAAATTTCGTCGTTGCTTATTTACGTCCTCCATAAAACGCGAAATTAGGCATTTTCACGTCGTAGTCGGGCAAAAACGGGAAAGAAATAAACAAAAAATG